CTCTCTCTCTCTCTCTCTCTCTCTCTCTCTCTCTCTCTCTCTCTCTCTCATACACAACACACAAAACCCATGACCCAAACTTTGACGCATTTCGGGCAGTAATAGCAGCTCTTCCTTACCCTTTATCCTTCCTTTTAGTTTACGAATATCTATTGATTGGTAAACATGGAATTTGCACCCCTAATTTAGTATGAAGAATAATGTCTCCAATGTGCTCAATCCCTAGGATTAATCCTCTTGTCTTCTTTTTTGACAGAAGCAGTAAATTTCCAAACTCCCGACACATAATATACAGATACTTGAATGCAAACCACGATTTAAATCTCCACCAAACAAAAGGACTAGAAACAAACCCTAATCCAAACAATCCATCTAGCAAATAAAATAACCAGAATCGCATAAGAATAATATGTTATCAAAATAAACAGAGAGAAGCAGAAATCCTCAGTTCCCAAAACTCCACTGCATGTTGAAACAAAGCAAGACCGTGTAAAACACACAGAAGAAAACGTGATGGCAGAGAGGAAAGTACCTTGTAGCCACTAAGCTCATTCTCGAGCTTCTCTTTTCTCTGCTCAGCTCTTCTCTCCACGCTGTGAATCCAAGCGTAGTCCACTCCATATTCAGGCCCCAAGTTCCCATTAATCTTCTCTGCAACTTCCCTTAATAGCTGAGTGTTCTCCCCCTTCTTAAGTTCATCGTAGGCCATCCGAACTGCCTCTATCTGGGTAACCGGGTTACCACAGTGCTCTGCTATGAAAATAAGGCGAAGGATCTTAGTGCGCCCGCTATAGAGAGAAGCGTAAGCCTCAACATCAAGGTGCTCTCCGCTCATTATAGCTTTAGGGCGTTTCTGGTCGACACCATTAGAGCAAGGAGCGTCTATCATCTCGGCTAAGCCATCTGCTTCGTCCATGGCCGCCTGTGCCTTTATGTGAGAGAGAGATGCTTTCCGGTGTTGAGACGGAGAAAGGCTCACTGGTTTGAGGTGAGAGAGACCTGTGCTGTTGAGGTTGTCTTTTATTCTAGAGAGGGGGTTTTCTATGTGGGAAAATTGTTTCATGCGGGCAGGACGAGCGGTCCAGACGTATAAAGCATTGACCCTAGTGATAGATGTAAATAGGTGGTCCATCTAAAAACATTTGCAACGGTTTTAATGTTTTTTAATATAATTATAAAAAAAAGTTATATAAAGTTGTAACTTAAAAATATAGAATTATATATGCACCTCAAAATTTTATTAAAAAATATTGTTTTAATATTGAAAAACACTTTAATTGATCATCTCAATATCGAGATATATGACTATGAAAAATAAAAATAATTTTGAGTCATAAAAATAGTGCATCTTACAACACTTTATCTAGACCGTCAATTTTCAAGATTTCTATATGTTCATAGATCTATTTGATTTTAACCATTTTTGGAGTTTAAAATTTTACAATTGAATATGAAATTTGATTTCAAAATAATCCTAATAATATTTTATATCAAAATTATATGTTATAATAAAATTTGGAGTTGCACCTTACTTGGATTGTTTAAGGTTGCAACCTTACGGAAACCACACCCCATAATTATTATTTGAGAAATGTGACTATAAACCCTCCCACACCCCAGAACCCCAAGGGATTACTATTAAATTTTGACATATATCTCTACAAAAATTATGATATGGGTGTGGGACTTAGGTGAATGGGTTTTCTAGAGATCTCTGTCAAAATTTAATAGTGATCATTTAGAATCCTACTTACATAGATGTCAGAGGGTCTCATAGTATCATTACTCTTATTATTTTAAATTTTTAACTTTTTTTTCATAATCTTCATATTAAAGATTATATATTTTCTAAAAATTAAAATCAAATGATATTTAAAAAATATATTTATTACCAAGCCCGTATTTCTATAATATGTAGGCTGGCTGCATATAAACTGAGTCCATAGATTTGCTCATATTTTTTTTAACTAATTATAATTGCTCATGTTACAATGTCATGTTAAAATATTATTTAACTTCTGATATTTTTTACAATAAAATTTTACTGATATTTGAGGTGTCCTATTTTTTTTATTGGGCACACCTAGTAAAGTTAAAAAAATACTTTATATACAAAAATTGACCAAAATATCCCTAAAAACTTTTAGGGATATTTTCATAATTTATGTCGAGAAAAATATGTTATTATTATTTTTTATGTGCACCGCAATCAGCTGATGTATGTATGCTATAAAATAATTTGTAAAATAAAGATTAAAAATAAAACATTTTCATTCTTCAAATTAATATCTAATGCTCAAGGGCGCACTTGTGACATTGTGGCTCAAGCTATTCCAGCCTTCCACTCGTGTCTAATGGCCGAGAGCAAAGGTACATATACATTATATATGGGTGGCGTCTCATGTGAAACTTTCCCTTTAATAAAAAGTTTAAATAAATAAATTCTTAAAAAAAAAGTTAGAAGAACACCTTGGTTTTGTGGAAAGAAAGTAAAAAATCACCTCAAAACTAACCAAAAAAATGTAGTTCACCCACATTTTTAGGCTTTATTTTGTGAGGTGCTAGGGATTGCCTTTCACATTGTTTTTGTGGCCCGTCTGGATTCCTGGATTTTTCAATCATAAGAAAAGTCAATTCTGGAATTGAGATTTCCTAAAAATATCAATTTTCTATTTGGGTCGTAACCGGTAGGAATCAAGAAAATGCAAATTTCATATTTGTATTGTTTGGAATATCTTTTTATTGAAAATACAAATTCTTTCTCTCTCTCTCTCTCAAATTTTTTAGTTAGTTTTTATCTCTAAAATTTCAATACACTATTTTTCAAAAGCTTAAAAATTGAAATAGTTTATCTCTTTATAAATTTTGAGGTAGTTTCTCTCTCTAAAATTTGATTTAGTTTATCTCTCTAAATTTTTTAGATAATCTCTCTCTCTAAAACTTAAAATTTGAGATAGTTTCTCTCTATAAAATTTTTGAGACAACTTCTCTCTCTAAACGATTTCATATATTTTATATCTCTAACTAATTTAATGTAGTTTCTCTCTCTAAAATATGATATAGTTTATATTTGTAAAATTTTAAAGTATTTTCTCTATCTAAAACTTGAAATTTGAGATAGTTTATTTCTAAAAATTTTAAGATAGTCTCTCTATAAAAAAATTAGGTACTTTATCACTCTAAAATTTGATGTAGTTACTCTTTCTAAAATTTTAAGATCCTTTCTATCTCTAAAACTTAAATTTTGAGCACGTAGTTTATCTCTAAAATTAATATATATTATCTCTCTAAAACTCAAAATTTGAAATAGTTTATCTATCTAAATTTTTTCAAATAGCTTATCTCTTTAAAAATTTTAGGTACTTTCTCTATCTAAAATTTGATATAGTTTATGTATCTACAGTTTTAAGATATTTTATCTCTCTAAAACTTAAAATTTGAGATAGTTTATCTCTCTCTCTAAAACTTAAAATTTGATATAGTTTATTTCTCTAACATTTTAAAGTAATTTATCTCTTTAAAAATTTAATATACATTATCTCTCTAATACTTAAAACTTGAGATAGTTCTCTTTGCACATTTCAAGTACTTTCTCTTTCTAAATTTTGATATTGTTTCTCTCTCTAAATTTTAAAATAGTTTAAGTCTCTAAAATATTTCTGACAGTTTCTCTATCTAAATTTGAATATAGTTTATAATCTCCAAATTTCTAGTATGCTCTCTCTCTCCAAAACTTAAAATTTAAGATAATGTCTCTCTAAATGTTTTGAGATATTTATCTCTAAAAAATATTAAGTATTCCTCTCTCTCAAATTTAATGTAGTTTACCTCTCTTCTCTCTAAATGTTTTAAGATACTTCTATCTAAAAAATATTTTAAGTAGTTCCTCTCTTTTAAATTTAATGTAGTTTTTCTCTCTAAAATTTTAAGATACTTTCTCTTTCTAAAATTTAATATTTGAGATAGTTTATCTATATAAAAAAATTGTATATTTTATCTCTCTATTTTTTTTGTATATTTTATCTCTCTAAATTTTGATATAGTTTCCATCTCTAAAACTTTAATATGCTTTCTCTCTTTAATACTTGATAGTGTTTCTTACTCTAAATTATTAATTTTTATTTTGTTCTTTAGTAGCAAAATTGATTATTTCCATAAAATGTCAATTCCACTTATTTTGGTGGAATTGAGATTTCCAAAATTTAGGCTTAAAATGAGTATTCAGGATTCCAACGGAAATGTCAATTCTAAGCAAACCAAACATGATTGGCCCAACTTTTCCAGGAAAAGTGAGTCCTAGAAATCTAAATCCAATGAGCCAAATAGCTTTTAGTAAAATTCATATTGCTTTTGATGAATTGTTTTGTTTCTCTAATGTTTCATAAAATGTCGATCTAGATCGGGAATTAATTATTTACTAATGATTGTGTGCACTAAAACTTATTAGATGTGAGATATCCAAAAAAAATTAGAAATATATAGATAAAATAACAGTAGTGTGTTCGTTAAAGTATTTTTTATATAGAATGTTGAGGGAGTTTGTAGTGGAGTTGTTTTTAATAGGCAGAGGTCATAAATTCCCCATGTAAAATTGGATACAATGTGTGTGCCATTGTTATGCACGAAAGTAAGAGATAAAAATCTAAAAGAGTTTGCAGGCAACATTTTAATACGAGTTTCCAAGTTTCACATGTGATGGTTAAGAGTGATTATGAGATGTTTTTTTGTTTTTTTTGTTTTTGGGTCAATTTAGTGGGGGAAGATAGCCCCTATCTGTTTTTTTAAATAGATTATTTCCAAGTTTCACATGTGATGGTTAAGAGTGATTATGAGCTGTTTTTTGTTTTTTTGGGTCAATTTAGTGGAGAAAATATCCCCTACCTGTTTTTTTAAATAGATTATTTCCAAGTTTCACATGTGATGGTTAAGACTTTAAGAGTGATTATGAGTTGTTTTTTGTTTTTTTGGTCAATTTAGTGGGGAAGATAGCCCCTACCTGTTTTTTTAAATAGATTAGGAGTTAGCTTATTTGAAGGTGTTAGTAGGGTGGTGTTAATGGTGAGAATGAAAACTACAACATGGTGACTAAGGTGTCGGGGTGCTACCACTATGACCCAGCCCTTTTCCCACGTATGAGCCTATTTTATTAAGATGTATGCCGTTTCGAATTCCATCTTATGATATTTTAAGGACATGTAAAATAAAAATATATTATTTATTTTTAGTACAAAGAGGTCACAATTATTATTGTCTGTTGTATTTTAAATCGGGTTGTAAGTGTGTCATCTACTAGACTCAAAGTTTTTTTTAAAAAAAATAAAATCTCAAACTTAATGGCAAAGTCCATGCTATCCAATTTGACATCTAACGGTTATGAGTAATGTGTGACCTCCTTGTAAAAATAGTAAACAAATTTATACCATAGAATCCCATAAATAAAAGAGGTTGTATAGTGACCATCATATTTGTTACAAGGAGGTTACAATTACTCCTAGCCATTAGATGTCTAATTGGATGGCCGGGGCCAGTAATAAAGTTTAATAAAATTTTATTTTAACTTTTAAGTCGAGTCAAAGATGTACCCACTCGATTTAAAATATGACGATAAGTGATTGCGACCTCCTTGTACTAAAAATAAATATTGTTGATGTATAGTTTTATTAAATAATACTATTTATCTTTGTTTACAAATAGTTGATAATCCTCCTATCTCATCATCCAAAATGAAATTTGATAGGTTGGGGTCCACAAAAAGGCTGAACTTTTTTTTTCTTGCACTCCAAGTTTGATTAGTGAAAGGCCCATGACATATAAATTAAAACTTGATTGTTTAGAGGGATTGCAGTTGTAAAAACAAGGTGCATCTAAAAAATCTAGTTAAAAAACATGTTTCGAAATTGGAAAAGCTGTAAATATAAGGTGCACCAAAAAAATCTAGTAAAAAAGCATGTTTCAAAATTGGAAAATCTTGTGATTTATCATCTCAATCTCGAGATGTGTGGTTGTAAAGAAAATAGAGGATTTTAAGTTAAAAAAATAGTGTATCTCGTAACATATTATTTAGACCGTCTATTGTTAAGATTTTTTAATTATTTATTCATAAGTTTTTTTGGAATTTTAAGTCTTATAATTAAGGTTGAATATTAAAAATTTAAAGGTGTAGTTCACTTGTATAGTATAGTACACGGTGGGCACCTTGTGCAAACCCGACCTTTTAAAGTGCTGGATAGTGTTTTACCCGAGGCAGAGTACAAGATATGCTCCTGCGGGAGCATATAATTGTGGAGCCGTTTAAAAACCGTTCCCGCCCCTTCAAACCAGCATAAAGAGCGGTGGCGCCATGGGGATCAGGGTTTCAGTGTCCAAACATGGCGACGTATTCATTAATAAGGACTTTCATATTGTTGATGATTTTCTCAATTCAGTGCTTTCTGTCAATCAGTTGCAGAGGTCTCCAAATTCTTGCAAAATCGAAGATTCAAACCTGCGAGAACCTTTCTGGCGCAAAGGAACTGACTTGCAGAGAGAAACTTGTCCTCGAAATTGCAGTTCCAAGTGGATCGGTGAGCGAAATGCGTTCATTTTTTATTTGATTTTGATGGAAACCCTAGAAAATTGTTTGGTGGTTTAGCACGATTGAAATGCCTTGATTTTTCATACACTTGGCCATGAAAGCTTGAATTCATTGCTGAGTGAGGAGAAATTGTCTTTGAACTGGTAAATTATAATAAGAAAGACATAACACTGCTGGATTTTATCGGGATATTGTAATTAAAGTGTTTTTTTGGTGCATTCCCCCAGGAATTATAAGTTATTCCACAACTGAAGAAAAAATTATCTGACTAATGAAGGCTGTAATTGTGTCTACGCCATATTATATTGTCTTATTTGAACTAAAAAGAAGTAATGATTTGCTTACAATTGATTCCATAAATTATACTAACATGATTTCATCTGGCAATCTTGACAATAATGGAAAGACAACATCAATTGTGCAAATATTTACTTTTTGGTGATCTAAACGACTTTTCCAGTTGTTGACTTTAATGGATTATAGAACTCTTATTAATAGATCCAGTTATTCTTGTTTTTATGGGAATGATCTCAAGGGTTTTCTTTGAAAGAGAATCACATCTATGCTGTTGGAGGTGAAAAACATACTATCTTTCTAAAAGGAAGCCCTACATTTTGGAGTATGCTCATGCATTAATTAATTAACATGGACACCGACTTTTGTTAAAGCACTATCTTCAATTGATAGGCTCCCTTCATTAGCAATATCTCCTTAAATTTCATTGAGAATAATCTATCTCTAATTAATTCTTGATCCATCCACTGGTTACCTTCCTTTGTGGACTCCATGAAACTAACTTTCTATGGCAGTTCCAAGGGAGTCCCAGTTAGAGTTGATGCGTGGGGGATTCTTAGAGATCACTTTAGCAAAGTCTAAGGCTTTGAGGGGCTTGCACTGCCAACAAAATAGAGGCCAGAGCTCTACTCCTAGGATTTCATCTCCTATAGGAGCATCCAACACTAAGATTGGGCAAAGGGACATCTTGGCAAAAGGAGTATAAATAGTCATTGAAGGAGACAAAATGTTGTTTGGTGGGGCACACAGACCGAAGAAAGCCCACTTTGGCAAAAGGAGTATAAATAGTCATTGAAGGAGACAAAATGTTGTTTGGTGGGGCACACAGACCAAAGAAAGCCCACCGCACTGCCCAAATTATGGAGGAACTCTGGAAGCTTCTGAAAAGCAAAAAGTTACAATGCATTTTCCTAGAGAGAAGCCAACAATGAGGCAGATGCTCTTGCTAAGCAGGGAATGGAATGAACACAACTCCACATTGCTATCGCTTACTTTAGTCTGGAATCTATCTTATGGGCTCATTTTGTATACGGGCAAACCCATCATACTTGATTTGCCCATCATACATGTAAATCAATTCTGATGATATATTAACGGAAGTACAATTAATATTAAAAAAGTGTGGTTTTGTTATGGTTGGGTTAAAAGTTTTATTCTCTTTATACATGTTTCCTCTGATGAAATGATGTTCTAATTGGAAAAATTGATTCCTTCTCTTTACCTGTTGCTGTCGATATTCTGGGCGGTTTTATAATCTACTGTGATTCTTAATGGAAGTTCTGTCTTAGTTGTCATATAGGTGTGATGACAACCCAAGGGCTTGTCTGGATGTACTCATTATAATTGATAATTCACTGTTTTAATAAAATTAATCCTGGCGACGAATTTTCTGTCGTTGGCTGTGCCCTTCACAAAATTATGTAAGTTATAGGCAGTTCTACATACAACTTTATCTTTTTGAAATTATGTTTTTAATTTGTTCAAGTAATATGTGAAAATTGTTGGGTTTATGTGGCCTTTAAAGGCCTTACGAATGTATATTGAAATACTTTTATTATAATGAAACATAAACTCAGTGGGAGTGTGGTCCCTCGAGGACCATACTAAGCAAATGATGTTTGCTTATACCGGACTGTGCTTGTCGATCTAGGCCAGACGGTTGGAAAACCCGAGGTACCTGGGCATAAAGAATTAACCGAGGAGGGTTTTGGGTTAGCCCGTGATGAGGTCGAAGCTTATGCCTAGATGAGAGAGCCGAGAGACTGTGTGACCCTTATGTGTGATGGTAGGTCTATTGAGACGGGAGCTAAAACCTCATTCATGTTCCATCACACGGCATGCATATTGATAGATCGTTCGGGAAAGCCAAATATCCACCTTTGGGTGAAGCGTATGCATGTGCGAGAGATACCCCTATGTGCCATAGAGCTGTGGTCGCATCAGGTCGTGGTGACCTTGACTCGTCTCTAGGGGATGACCAGTAATCTACATACTGGGATTGCGACCCCTTGATTTATCGACTAGACTTTGGTGACCCGTTAATGAACCCCTGCTTGGACTGTGGGTCATGAGAAACACTGGGTCGGTTTGATAAAGCTAGTGTGGTCTGTAGTCTACAGTTGAAGGTGGAGTACCCCATCATTACAGATTGGATTCCTAAAATCATATGGATCTTTTTCCCATCATATTAATTTAATTATGTTCATTTTATTATTGATATGATTTTAGTTTTATTATTTGAATTTTTATGAATCT